ACTATCGATACCACCCAACCTAACCCACTTCCTCAGTCCTCACTTTTTTTATTTCAGAACATCAGGTAATATTTCACTATTTTCACTCGAAAATACTATGAATATGGAAGATGAAAATCCAACAGAAGATTCACCAGACATTGACGCTGATCCTTCTTGTGATTTAACTGCAMAAATCGATACACCCACCATGAACACGCCTTTGCCAACATCCATCTACGTTGTATTATTATTTTATTAAAATGTCAAAGCGTAGTGCCGATTTTATGCAACATTTTCTTTAAAAAAAAAAATGTGTCATTGAAGACGACCCAGAATGAAATGGTAGACGACCCAGCTCCCATTTCGTCAAATCAACCAATGAAACATTTAGACATTGATCCAACATTCCAACATCAAATAAAACAAAGGTACTGTAGAAAATATAATTATAGATATTGGGATTGTATTAAGTTCAAAATCAACAATTGATGATTTTACTAAAAGACAGTTACTTGAAAATCATTGGAAACCACCAATATTTTACAATTTTCCTTATTCAAGTCACACAAAAAATGGAATTCTTCGTAAACGATTTTTGAAACAAGAACATGTAAATAAATATTTCTGGCTAGTTTTTTCGCCTTCAGAAGTGGATTATTTTGTATTTATTGTTCTATTTTTCATAATAAAACTGGTCATGGATTTAATAACCTTACTCCATTAGTCATTAATAGTTGAGCCTTTAAAGAAATTCGCTAAGTTATTAGGAAAGGATGGTTACCTCGAAACGCATGATAATAATTTGTACCATAACAGTTGTGCACTGAAAGGAAAACAATTTTTAAAATCGTATAATAAGCCAGAGCTAGAAGTAGTAAACCAAATAAATTCAGAGCGCCTAAAACAAGTTAAAGAAAATAGATCTAGACTAAAACCTATAATTGAAAGTTTGATTTTTCTCGGGCGGCAAAATATTGTTTTACGTAGTCATCACGATGATGGAAGCGTTAAATTGATCTATCTGATAACCCATTAGAGAACGAAGGAAATTTTAGAGAGCTTCTAAAGTTTAATTTATTATCTGGAGATATCGCATTAGAAAACCATTTAAAAAATGCTGAAGCAACAGCTACTTATATAAGTAAAACGACTCAAAATACTCTTATTTCGATAATTGGAAATATAGTTTAAATAAATATATTAAACAAAGTAAATAAACAAAATATTTTAGCATAATTTTCGATAAAACAACTGATATATCTAAAACTTTACAACTGTTTATAGTTTTACGATACGTGTACGACAAAACTATAAATGAAGACTTTATTAGATTTATAGACTGTCATAAAATAACTACGATCAATCTAGTATCAATACTGAAACAAAAATGACCGGAGAAATAATAAGAAAAACTGTAATACATATTCTAGAAAATTTAGCTTTACCTATGAATAATTATGTAGAAATAACTATAGATGGGTGTTCTGTGATGCAATCTAAAAAATGCGGTGCAATTAAATTATTACAATCTCAAATGAAATTTGCTATAAAATGTTCATGTTATAGTCATGCTCTAAATGTATCAATAATGAAAGGTTGTAAACAAACATTTGTTAGAAATGCATTTGGAATTATTAAAGAAGTAGTAAGTTTTTTCAATACTTCAGCAAAAAAAAAATGTTGTTTTAAAAAATATTTTAAATAGTTCATTAAAATCTTTATGTGAAACTAGTTGGCTTGAAAAACATGATTCCATTATGCAGTTTTCTTCGAATTTGGTTTTAATTAATGAAGCATTAGATAAAATATCTGAATGGAACAATCTTGAAACGTCCTCAAAAGTGTCTATTCTAATAAAATCATTGTAAAGTGTGGAATTTATTTTAACATTAAAAGACGCTCTCAATAAGCGATAAACCACTATGCCATAACGAAAATCTAAAACCGTCGTATCTCTCTCTCGWGACGACCGTTGACCATGAATCATTGTTCGCCACTATATTGTTCCGTAATTTCTAATTTACTCAAACAATTCTACTCCGATTTTTATCATTCAAAAATATGTTTCTCGTTAAAAGTGATCTACAACCAAATCAAGCGTAACGTCATCCAACCGAAGCAGTTCCGGCTACTAGCTCTGGTAACTTTAACAAAATTAATTAGGTACCTCTATTTAATTGTAATCGTTATCTACGGCGGACGCACTCGGTCCCGTTAATCGACGTTCGATTGTGCAACGCTCTCAATAAGCGATAAGCCACCATGCCATCACAAAAATCTAAAACCGTCGTCTCACCATTTATACACTAAAGCACCTATACAGAGCTTGCCAAATAGATCGCCTAATCAATCTTCAAATTCTGATCCCAACGATGGCTGGATCACCYCCACTTCAGAAAAACGCACAATTACTTCTCCATCTACCCCAACCTCAAGACCGCAAGCAACAAAAAAAGTATTTGTTACTCAAAATCGATTTTCCTTATTTTCGCATACGATCGACGCATCCGAAAATAATCCAGAACCCAAAAAAATGTAGCAAGAACCTGAGCACTTAGAAAACTATTCCGCACCTTCCAAACCCCCACCACCACCTATTTTTATTCGCGTGGTTACTGATTACAAGGCTGCTGTGACAACATTAAGCAACTTATGAATGGTGAACCTTTCGTATGTAAAAGTTCTATAAATGGCATAAAACTCTCTACAAGCTCACCAGATTCGTATCGTTCTGTCATTCAATTTCTACAATCTAATAAAGCTGCTTTTCACACTTATCAGCTAAAACAAGACAGAGCCTTCAGAATAGTTATTAGAAATCTTCACCACTCTACACCAATTAATGAAATAGAGAAAGAACTCTCAGCTCTCGGACATATGCCTCGTAACGTCACAAATGTTTTACATAGAATCACGAAAAAACCTCTCCTGCTCTTTTTCGTTGATTTGGAGCCTGATATCTGAGAAAGATGTCTTTAAAATTGACCACCTTTACTACACTAAAATAAAAATTGAAGAGCCCTGACCAAACAACCAACCAATCCAATGCCTCCGTTGCCAAGGCTTCGGCCATACAAAATCATACTGCAACCACCCGCCTAATTGTGTATCCTGTGGAGACTCTCACGCGTCAGAAAGCATACACGAACATAGGCGAAGAAAGACTATCTGCGTTAGCAATTATGAATATRGAATCTGATATCACTACATCAATAAACTACGATGATATTATTCAAGAATTTGCACGAGACCGTGCACGACGAAAATGTTAAGTACTTTTTTTTAAATATCGTTTGTTGTAGTATATTATTAATTATTTTAAATATATTTATATTTATTATCTTCAAAATATATTAAATGTATATTTCTTGTGGAGGGGGGCGCTTGTAAAATGTTGCCATGGGCGCTTAACGTCTAAATGCGCCACTGCACTCGATGCTTCTAAAAACAACTCCTCCACCACTCACACAACCAATGTTTTACCATCACACATAACACAACTCATTACAGAAAAGCGTCGAGCCCGCCGTATATGGCAAATAACACACTTGCCGAATGATAAAAGGCATTTCAACACTCTCAATAACTCCTCAAAATATATTCTTCGAAAATACAATTCTGACAAATTTCACAACTACTTGGAATCTATCTATAATACAGACAACTCTCTTTGGAAAGCCACTAAAAATATCCTAAAGGAAAAAAGTAAAATACCTCCCCTACTGTACCCCGACAACTCCCTAGCTTCGTCAAATCTCGACAAAGCAAACTTATTCGCTTCAGATCTTGAAAATAGATTCTCACCACATCCAGACTTACTCACTAGAAGCCACTACTCTAATATTGAAGTCTCACTTCTAAACACTCTTCCAATGTGTCTCCCTACAAAACATACCTCCCTTTCTGAAGTCCTAAATATCATTAAAAACTTAAAAAATAATAAATCCCCAGGCCACGACCTGATAACCAATACTATTGCTAAATACCTGCCTAAGAGAAGCAATCTTACTTCTCACTTATATTTACAATACCATTCTTCGTCTATCCTATATCCCACCCCCCTAAAAACACTCAGTTATCATCCTAATCTACAAGCCATCAATTATTTTTGTCAACATGATTATAATATTTTTGACTTAATATATAAATCTATATTTAAAAATATAGAAATTGTAATAATTTAATATTGTTGGCTTGATAAATATGTAATACGCTTGAAAATGTATGAAAAATAATTAAGTTATTTTAATAAAATGGATCATGGGTTTCCTCCGTTTTAACGATGGCATCGTTAAATTAAGGGGATTGGAAGCGGTGATTTTCTGTCTTTGTCTAACACACGTGGGACATACAATACGCCTGACAAAAATTAAGGTACTGCTAGTTGTTCGATTTAAAATATGTAAAGATGTGTTAATTGATATACAAGTTTACTTTGCATCGGGTCGAAGCACTTTTTCAATTGTAGCAATATTTTGATAAGAATAAATATTTTAAATTTTATAAATTTGTCAATTTTTTTTATTAAATATATCAAAAATATTAAAAATATGCTTCGACCAATGCAAAGTAAACTTGTATACCAATTCAAAAATCTTTACATATTTTAAATGGTTCCATGTCATAATATCTTTGAAATAATATCTTCAGTCAAAATATCTCTGTCAAAATATCTTTTGTAAAAATATCTTATGACAAAAATGTCTTTGATTAAAATATATTTTAACTGATTTTTTTAAAATAAGATAAGATAATATTTATTGGCTAAAAAAACAAAATAGTTAAAATAAATACAAGAATAATTATTAATTACATCACGTCATATTGTATAATAT